TCACCACTAAAAGACTGAGAATTTTAGCAGAGCAGTTACCCTAAAGAGCTTGGAATATAACCCACGTGTTAACTGGCAAACCATGCAGTCCCTTTCAAATTCACCAGTGAGTTCTGATAATACTTTAGAACTATTTGCCGGAGGAAAACAAAACTCTGTTTTTACGAGCAAGGGTAATATTGACATCAAAACTTTACAAAAATAGAACCAAAATGAAACACATAAACATCACATAAAATATATGCGATACTAGGCAAAGTTTAACAAGTGCCTTGTTCATGTTCTAAACATTCAGAAAAAAATAGCACTGGGTCTAGTGAAGCTAGTAGAAGATACAGATGATGTATTATAGCATTGTACCCCTGAAACCTATATCATCTTATTAACCAATGTCATCCCAATAAATTCAATAAAAAATAAAGTAAAAAGTAAAAAAAAACAGAGAAGGAAAAACAGAAGAAAAACATAAAGCTGCCAAACACAGAAAAGAGAAGGAAAATGTAGATTAGTTTTAAAACTGGTGAAAATCATGAATTTTGTACCACTTTAGAATAAATTACCTTGTAAGACCTAATTTTTATTATTATTTAAAAAGTATGTTTGTGTTGATTTTAGAGAGTAAGGGAAGAGAAACTTCAGTGAGAGAGAAACCTTGATCGGCTGCCTTTTGCACACCTGCTGGAGGTTGAGCCCCCAACTCGGGGTGTGCCCTGACCAGGAATCGAACCCGCAACCTCTTGGTGCCTGGGACAACGCTCACCCACTGAGCTACACTGGCCAGGGCAGCTCATAAGACTTTAAAATACCCATAATACCAATTAAATCTTGGGTTACTTGTTTTTTAGCATTCTTCTTTAATTATTTAGATACAAATTGGTACTATTTAAAATTCAGTTTTTGTTTTTCATTAATGTGATAAAGCTCAAAAATAAAGAGGAATGACCTTTAAAAAAAAATCACAAAAATCTCTGTCAATAAATATTACTAATGGACATAAGTGCAAAAAATCCAAAATAATATATTAATATAGCCACATATTAAAAAATGCACACCATAATGAAGTTGAGAAATTTTCCTACAGCATAAGGGTAGTTCAATATTCCAGTTCCTTATGTTAATTCATAATTCTGCTATTAATATGATTCTAACAGATCATTTTANATCACAAAAATCTCTGCCAATAAATATTACTAATGGACATAAGCGCAAAAAATCCAAAATAATATATTAATATAGCCACATATTAAAAAATGCACACCATAATGAAGTTGAGAAATTTTCCTACAGCATAAGGGTAGTTCAATATTCCAGTTCCTTATGTTAATTCATAATTCTGCTATTAATATGATTCTAACAGATCATTTTAATACAGTACTAATAGGTCAAAGAAAAGATTATATCAAAAGTAACTGCACTGAAAAATACAACTTCTATTTCCTCAAAAATATCTATAAATTAGGTAGAGATGGACATGTCCTTTATCAGTAGAAGTTGCATCTCTGAGCAAATTCCAGTGTCATGCTCAAGACTGAATGAACTACTTTAAGCATTGCCATCAGAATGCTCTTTTATTTTTAATATTATGCAATATTACTGTGTCCATATCAGTAAATGATACTCAACAAATTTTACAAAGAGTTTTAAATACTGAAGGTTGAGGCAAAATTATAATTTTTATAGAAAATGTGATTGTATTCTTGGAACACCCAAAATAATTGACTAGAAAAAATAAATCTAAGAAGAATTTGGAGTGATCAGCCTGGTCGCAAAATCAATAGCTTCCTTATATGTTAAGTATAACTAGTTAGAAAATATGTTAGATAAACCTCCTATTCACAACAGCAATAAAATAGTAAACTACTGAGATATGTTAATATAAGTTAACAAGATTTATGTAATTTAAAGCTATAAATGAAATAGCTCAGGAACTGCATCCTGTGGTACCCAACTCATATACTTTGCTCACCAATATCCCAGGAATATCTGGATGGTTTTCACTACTGGACTTGAAGGGTGGATTTTTCTGCATACAAGTTGCAGAAGAATTCCAGCAGTTGTTTGCTTTTGAATGGCAAGACCCAGAAACACAGGAAGCTCAGCAGTATTGCCGCACAGTTTTGCCACAGGGATTCAAAAATCCCCCCATCTTCTCATAGATACAGAGAACAGACGGATTTGCCAGAGGGGAGGAAGGTTGGGGGATTAGGTGAAAAAAATGAAGGGGATTGAGAAGTACAAATTGGTAGTTACAAAATAGGCATGGGGATGTCACGTACATGATGGGGAATATAGTCACTGTTGTAATAAGTATGTATGTTGCCAGGTGGGTGCTGGAAATATCGGGGCGAGCACTTCGTGAAGTGTATGACTGTCTGACCACTATGCTGTACACTTGAAACTAATACAAAATGATATTGAATGTGAACCGTAATAATAATAAAAAAGATACACTCTTGCAATAAAACACACAAACAAACCAATTCCCCACCTTATTTTGGGAGATGCTGGCTAAGGATCTCGGGGCCCTTATGAGATAAAGGCCTCACTTCAGTATGTGGATGACACGGATGGGAAGCTCCACTTGTGACAAATGCCCACAGCACACTATTAAGACTGAACCATTTGGCTGAATGTCTCTCAGAAAAAGACCCAAATATGTAAACAGCAAGTTATTACCTGGGTTTCTCCCTGTCCCAAGCTCAAAGGGATCTACTGCCTGACAGAAAAACGGTCAATTGCAGACCTCATAGAGGGGATTTGGGAGGACGGTGGGATTCTGCAGAATCTGGAGTCCAAATTACAGTAAAACCCTTCTATGAGGCTTTAAAAGGACAGGATCTGGAATCTCTTCTTTGGATTAAAGAATGCCAAATGGTTTTTGACACAATTAAGGACAAGTTAATTTCATCCCCAGCTTTAGGGTTATCAGACTTATAAAGGCCCTTCAACTCTTATGTCCACGAGAGACAAGGCATAAGCCTTGGCATGTAGACACAAACTTTGGGCAACATCACACGACCGGTAGTTTACTCCTCCCGGCAACTAGACGGCGCAGTAGAAGATGGCCCCTTGCCTTCAGCTGTTACAGCTGCTTGCTTAAAAATTTACCCCTGGGCAGTCCACTCACCATGTCCTGTCCTTATTGGAAGACAAGGGAGATGACTGGCTTACGTCAGGAAGAATGGGAAAGTATAAAGCCATCCCTTTAGGCAATCCTAGTGTGAGGCTACAATTAACATCGGCCTTGCTCCCCAATGAGGCTTCGGAAACTCAGAACATGCCATCGAGCTAGTATTTTCTAGCCGGCCGGACTTGGCTGACCAGTTAGCTGAACGAGAGTTAAAACTCTTCTCCGATGGGCATAGCTTCATGGACCAAGGTAAGCTTTGCACTGGGTACACGGTGGTGGTTTTACAAAGAACTCTAGAGGCAAAAACTTACCCCCAGGGAGTTCAGCACAAAAGGCAGAAATCATTGCTCTCAAAAGAGCCCTGCTTCTGGCCGAAGGAAAACAGGTGAAAAAACCAAAAAACTCCCTATATATATTCCTAGTAAGCCTTTTTAGGAGTACATGCCCATGGAGCCCTTTAGAAAGAAAGGGGGCAACTCACTACAATAATAAAGATATTGAATATGCTTCTGAAATTCTTCTGCAGTTAGACACACGTCACAAGCCCGCACACATGGCCATCACGCATTGCCCTGGCATCAGCGGGGTGAAACCCACATAATCAAAGGAGATCAATTGATTAACCGGCCACAAAGACGGCAGCAAGAGAAGGTGATTATCTAGCCCTGACAGGATCTCGCCTCCCTCAGGCTGACTTATCTCAGCACCAGCTGCTATACTTAAACAAAGACAGGGAGGAATGGGGGTTAACTTCTGATCAAGCTGCACATGTAATGCGCAAGAAATCTTCTTAATTCCAGAGGTACTCCTGAGTATTGTGCTCCCTCACAAAGGTGACAGCACCCCTTAGGTGATGCCACCTTGCAATGGATCCAAAAATATATAATGGGGCCTGATTTATAACAGACTGTTGGACAAATTACTCAGTGTTGTATGATCTGTGCTAAGAACTGCTGCTAAGCCTCTGCAGATGGGAACTGAATTCAAAGGGAATGTGCCCGCTGAGGATTGGCAGATAGACTTGACTCAAATGCCTCTAGCCTCTGAAAATTTTAGGTAGTTGCTAGTGTTTGTAGACACCTTTTTAGGATGCGTACCCCACCTGAACTGAAAAGGCCTCTGAAGTAGTTAAGGCCCTCCCCAAAGAAATATTCCCTCCATTTGGATTGCCAAACACCTTTCAAGGTGACAAAGGGCCCGCATTCATTCCCGGTATCACTCGGCAGGTTATCTAAAATGTTGCATATCAAGGGGAAATTACATTCTTCCTGGAGACCAGACTCAACAGGAAAAAATGAGAAAATGAATCTCACTCTGAAAAGGAGCATTGCCAAAATATGTCAGGAAACTCATATGACTTGGGGGAAGGCGTGGCTGCCGCCCTGTTGCAGGTTACGAGCGCCCCTGAAGCGGGCTTGGATTAAGCTCCTTTGAAATTCTGTATGGCAGGGCGGTCCGGCCTCTGCCCCAGCAGGTGGAGCAACTAATGCTTGGCGAGATGTAGCAATAGCTAACTGTGTTAAGACCTTAGGCACTATATGAACTCCTGTCCCGGAATTTGTCTCCAGCAGGTCTGCATATCTCACTGAGGTGACCCTGCCTCCCTTTCGTCTGGGAGACCGAGTCCTCCTCAAGACCTGGGAAGAACAGGGACCTGAGCAGCAGCTGGCTGCCAAGCGCACGGGGCCATTCAAAGTTCTGCTAAACGCACACCCGCCTGTCAAACTAGCTGGAGTGAAGCCGTGGAGACATCACACGGGAATAGAAGTAGCACACCCAGAAGTCACCCCTCCTCAGGAAGAAAATAAACAGTGGACCTGAGAACCCTTAGAAGACATAAAGCTGCTCTTTCATAGAAGAGATAAGTAAAATGCAGATCTGTGATGTGTTGTGCGTCCTGTCCCTCTTCTGGAGCTTCACCCTTGCAGGGGACGATAATTCTTTAGCTAGAATCTCTCAATCCATAGCCTTCTCCAGTAACTTATCCCATTACTGGATCTGTCATCTCACGCCTTCCTCCCTGCTGGATCATTCTGACCCTCTGGTCCTGCCTGTTTTGAATTTCTCGCAGATACCCAGTTACCAAGTCACTTATGACATGAAATTCCCTAACGTTGTGCATCGAGTGAGGCTTGTTGATTATGAATTTCCTGTGCCCTGTTTCTTCCTCACCCCGCCCGAGAACTTTCCAGCCATGGTTTCAGGCAAATCCTGTAAAAAGCCCGACGCCCCGGGGCAGGGTAATCTGACCAGGCCCTCTGGAAGCCCGGGCGCTCCTTGGCAATACAATAGGACGTGTTTCACCGACCCAGCCTCTCTCCCTTTGATTCGACAGCGATGTGCCAATCTGTCCTCTGCCTACGCTTCTACTAAACTATGCAGAACCTGGAGGGGTCAAGACGAGACATATCTGAAGGGCTCCCCGACCCCCTTGCAGAGTTGCCACATGACTCCATCGTGGACCCTGCCTCGCACGGACCCCTGGTTAGAAAACATCTTGGGTCACCTTCCCCAAGGGGATAACCTTAATTTTCAGAATATGACTGGGATCTTATGTGCTCCCATGGGTTACGTTTTTGTTTGCGGATCCCAGAATGAGGCATGGGCCTATAAGTGTCTTGACAGTTGGCGTATTGGTGGAACCTGCTTATTGGGCTACTTGATAACCCCATTCTCAGAAACTGTCCATTGGACCAGTTCCCTTAAGCTGTTCACTAGGATCGCTCGTGATCTCCCTGATGGAGATAGTTATTTCTTTGGCTATATTTTCCTCCCTTGGCTGGATGTGGTAGCTAATCAGCGTGTACTCAGGAACCTATCAAAAACCTTAGATGCCATTGCAAATGAAATGGCTACCACCCTTACTGGGCTGCAAACATCCTTGAATTCTCTTGCTGAAGTTGTACTTGACAACCGTGTAGCTTTAGACTATATGCTTGCTGAACAAGGTGGAGTCTGTATTGCTGCTAATACTACTTGCTGCACATATATCAGTTCCTCTTCTGAGGTAGATACTCATATTGCCAAAATTAGACAACAAGCTACTCTGTTCCAACCAAAAGTAGACCCTCAGAGCGGACATTTAGGTGGAATTCAAGACTGGTTCACAGGCCTTTTCTCATGGAAGCTGAAAGGGGCACATTGGATCCTAGGCAGTATTCTCAAATTAGGGCTCATCGTCCTCCTCACAGCTATGTTATTCATAATGATTATGTACTGTGTAATTAAGCGCTGTGCTAACAAGGCTAAGACTACTAAGATAAATAGGGAAATGCCTATGGCAACTTTTTAAACCCCCATGTTTAAGAGGGGCGCTAAAGAACATTCCATAGGCCAGGTCAAATGGTTCCATTCCACAATCTCACCTCGCCGACCCTGATCAGCAGGAAGTAGCCAGATGAGAGACAACGCCCCATTATCCCCAATTCCACATGATTGTGGAATGGACCAATTGACAGTGGGAGATTGTAACAGAATAAATTAAGAGCCTTGCTCAAGACTGACATGTCAGTTAGCAACTTCTGCTTAGTTCTGCACGTAGCTATGCTAATCATTAAGGGACTCTAACCTGTAGCTTAGAAATTACTGAAACAATGTCCCTGCCTTAGACTATCTCCCCAAAGAGGGAAGGAGAGACGTACAAAAATAATGATTGTTTGTCAAAAGATTTATAGGAACCTCACGACTGGGACCACAGCAGCCGAAGTTTGTTAACCAAAAGGAAAGAAGTGTCACTGTCTCCGTTGGGCCCTTGCTGACGTCCAGATGTCTGTGCTCCTCAGTCACCTCCTGATCTCAAACCCTATTGCTTTACCCTTTCCCCTGACATAAAAGAAACCTAAATTCTGTACTTTCTGACGATGGTTCTTTAGGATGCCAGCCCACCATCTTCTTGGCTTGCTGGCTTTCCAAATAAAGTTGCTTTCCTTGCCCCAACTTTGTGTCACTCGACTTACTGGTCATCATGTGGTGAGCAGAATGAGCTTTCACTCAATTACAGAATGAGATTTGAGTAAATAGAATGAGTTCATTGTTCTTAGACAGTAAATTGGTATTCTAGAGATTGCAACTCTAAATTATATAAGTTTAATATTGTGACAATAAAAAGAGGAAAATAATTTTTTGTAACTTAAACTGATTACAAATCTCAAGAGAAATAAGCATTCAAATAAAATGCAGAAAATTTAAAGAAAAGGAGTAATGAAAGCCCACTAGCTTCTCAGGATTTATAATATTTCATAAAGTTTCACTGTAGAAGACAATTTTGTTGTACTTTAGGAGAATATCGATAGATCAATGTATGAAAGAGAAATTAAATTATAAAATAAATCAAAGAAAATCTGAAAATTTAGTAGTATATGATGATAGTGGGAAACCTGGGTAGTTATTTGGGAAAAAAGAAAGCTGGAATTCTACCTCAGACATTTTACTGAACACACCACAAACATATATACCCTTATTTCCTGTTAGATCACAAATTTAAAAGTTGTAAAACAAAACAAAACTGTTCCTTTGAAAATATGGGTATTTTTTCTATAATACTAGTGGAGGGAAGCTCAGAACATAAAAAGAAAAAAAAGATACATTTGACCACATAAAAACGTAAATGCTCTCAATGATAAAAATATTAGTCAAAATAAAAGTGCCAAACTGAGAAATATAGTTACAACCCCCAATGCAAAGACTAGTTTCCTTATGGAGGATTTTGTTAATTGCAGTTCACATCTTCCCCACATTTCAACATTTCTAGAATGGGGATGTGGGGAAGCTTCTAAAAATCACATCATGGTAGGAAACAGATGGCTGTGAGAGGGAAGGTGGGGTGTCAGACTCGTTTGGCAACATTCCTGCAGCTGGAGTCAAGATCAGGCTAGCTCTTCTTAATTGCAGTGTCAGCCTAAGAGCTCAGCCCTGGTGGATTTCCATTCCTTGAGGAACTGTTTCTAAGAAATGCTTCAATGCCAGCCCTCTTGATTGCTCAGAAGACACTGTTATTGGGGAAACCATGGACGGGGAGGATTCAGTGTTGCAAAGTGACTCTGAGGAGTCAGATATTGAACTGGAGACATTTGCTCTATTTCCTGTCTCTATTCGCAATAGTGAAACATGGCAAAACTATCTGTCCACTTAAGCGTAAAAGGATTATTTTAATATGCTCATATTAAAAATTATAGGTGATAAGAAAGCATTGTTTCTAAATTTAATGGGCAGAGATTTTTTTCTTTTTATATATATATTTTTAATATATCTTTATTGATTTCAGAGAGAGGAAAGGAGAGGAAGAGAGAGAGAAATATCAATGATGAGAGTCATTGATCGGCTGCCTCCTGCACGCCCCCGACTGGGGATCGAGCCTGCAACCCGGGCATGTGCCCTGACAGGGAATCGAAACCCGATCACCTGGATCGTAGGTCGGTGCTCAACTGCTGAGCCATGCCCAGCTGGGCTTTCTTTTTATAATTAATGATGCCTTTAATTTTGTTATTGGTGGAGTGCTCTCTGTGTCCCCACCTGCTCCTGGTGGAAGTGGGATTCTTGGGGTGCCATGGGAATATGAATTTGCTGAGGCCCCCATGGGGGGATGAGGTATTGTGGAAAGCTTTATTTCTGTGGAATTAAACCCCTGAGTTTCCAAGGTCCCATCTCCCTCTCTCCTGCCATGGAGAAAGTCCCATTTTTGTCTTCAGCAGGACTGAGATCAAAACAAGTGCCCGGAGTTTCTGCTCCCTATTTGCACAGTCCAGTCCAGCATCTGGCTAGGTTAGCTTGTGTTCCCAGCTGCAGTCCACTGAGTGTAGAGTCGGCATGGCCATGGGCCATGTGGCTTTTAGAGCCACATGGCTATGGCGGGAGCATGGGTGCGTGCAAGGAAGCAGGAGCAAAGTAAGAGGAAAAAGAAAGAAAGAATTCCTTCATCTGGGGGATTTTACCCTTCCAAGATTTTGCATGCTTGCAGTGGCTCTACCTCCTAGCCAATTATATTTGTTCCAGGTTAGATTGACAGAAAAACACCTTCCCTGCATCACCGTGACTTAAGTGCACATGCGTCCATCTCCCCTTTTGTTGAACCCTTCCCCCAGTGGTTTGTAGGGAATGGATCCGTGTTTCCCTAGGGAATGTGAAACTGAGCTTCCTGGCGAAGCTGCCTAGATGGCCATGCTTATAATATCTGGTCTTTCCTTTGCTCCTTTCCTATTACTAATATTAGCTAGCTAGTTAAAACAGTAATGATTTGGTGACATATAGAATATAATGGTCTTTGACAAATTAATAAAAGATAAACAGTCCATATTCATATTTAAAGAAATACAAAGCGGCACTTAAAAATATGAATAGATGTTAATGTTAATTTTGAAAATACAAATTTAAAATGAAATGCCACTTCACCTATCAGATTTACCAAAGATCCAATATAGTGTGGCTGAGAGTACATGTAAACAAACAGACATTCTCACTAAGTTTCAGTGGTAGATTACACTCTGTTCAAGGGGTAAACTGATGCTTTTATAGGACAATTAGATGAAGTCTATCAAAACTAGGAACACAGATTTTGACCACCAATTTAATATTTGCAAATTTATCCTATAGATATGTAAAGAGATACACATGTACACAGATAATTTTAGAAAGAGGTCCCTGCATTACTTTTAATTGTAAAGAACAAAAACAACTTGTTTTCGTGACTAGTTGAATAAATGGTGAGACATTCAATCAATATAAAATTAATCTAGTCCCTTAGAGTGAGGCAGACAAAGACATATCTCCAAAACATATTTTTGGCCAAAAGAGACCAGGTTCAGAATCGTACCCATGTGTTTATAAAGTATGCTTTCATTCGTGAAGAAAACAAACAAAGAAAATATACATGTATACACACACGAACACACAACATTTTAGAATACTATATCAGTAACTGTTATTTATGATTTTTAATTTTAACTTTTTTCAATTACAGTTTACATTCAAGTAACTGTCATTTTTCAATGAAAACACTTGTTGAAAAGAAAGACTAGACAAAATGTCACGTGCCATTTTGCACTTTTGGGTAAGTAGCCTCAGGCAGCTTTTGGGGCCTGTACACAGTGACTCATACCTGTGTCCTCGCTGACGGGTGTTTATCCTGAACCTGTTTAATGTCTTTTGTTTTCTCGGAGTGCTCACCTGGGAAGATGGGCCTGCTCCCCCTGCCCCCTTGCAATTCCTTTGTCTGTTTTAGCCTAAGGTGACTGCTATGCTTAGCGCTCTTCTAGTTGCAGAGGTATTTCAGGGGTTTTTCTATTGAAAGATGCAGCTCTGGTTTTTGCTTGTTTGGTTGGTTTTGTCTGGCTCTCTGCATGACCCGTTCTTTTCGATTCTTCTTTGGAAATATGTCATGGGGTTGTGCCCACTAAGGTGGTTATTTCTATTCTTTGTCCTGCCTGTGCCCCCGAACACGCTGCTGTTAGGGATTACTGAGAAAGCCGAGCTGTCGCTGCGGCTGGAATGTGTCCTTTCCTTCTGGTGGTTGTTAGGACAAGCACTGTTATTTTTGTTCTTGCCTGGGCTGAATGATTTATGAGTGAACTATTTAATTTTTGGAACACTTGACATTTTTGACCTCTCATCCATCAACCCTTTGGAATTACTTTGTTCGGTAGATTGAAATACTGCTTCATTCTACTCCAGATAGCTTCAGTTTTCCTTGTCATAGGAAATACTGCCCGGGGTTTACCCACGAGAGTTAGCTGACAGGTAAGCAGATGGCTTTCAGAGGGAGAGCCACCAGCCCAGAGCGGCTTGGGGAACAATATCCCTGTTTAAGAGCTTTTCCTTACATAGTTCACTTTTGTCATGATGATAAAACTAACCAAAAAATATCTTAGAATGATCTTATCTTCCTTAGAAAGAAATAAAGTTGTGTTTAAAAAAAACTCCACCCCAAATAAATAAATTTTGCTATTGTCATGACAATGTCCTTAATATAGGTGGCTTTGTGAGACAATAGCTGTCCTGCTTTTATTACAGTTATTTCGCATTTCAAAATTTCCTTTTACAATGGAATATAACCATTGAGTTCTAACACTCTGGAGTAGATTACCCCTTCCTTCGCTGTACTGATGGTTGAATGTAAGGGAGTTGAAGGTTGGCAAGTTTTGTAACATTCTAACAGTGAAATTGGTAAACGAATTGGGTATTATCAGTAGTTAAAGATAGTAAGAAATCTTGGTCATCCAGTGTGCCATCAATGAGACAAGGCCTTTTGTGCCTACATTTGTTCTCTTTAACTACAAACTGTCTGTGATTTGACATCTG